ATGGAAACAGTGCCTGGAAATACTGAACAAAATTTTTTTGACCTTGGGTACAGCGCCCTCCTGAGTAGAACCACTGATGAATGTGATGCTCTTTATGTTGCCTTGAATTTGGTTCATTACTTTCCTGACATGATAAAAGCAATACTAGTCGCTGTTGGGATTTGAATTCAACAAACCATGTGTACCCTCGCAAAAAAGTAAATAAAAAAATGAACAGAGTAACACTATACATGCCATAACATCCCGGATGTCCAGGATTATCCTGGAAATAAGGTATCTGTACCGGACATGACATGGAGATGATTTATGTCCCGAAAAAAAAAATCTAAAATGATCTACTTTGAAGCCAGAAATTTTATATTTTTATATAATCTTATTTTCAAGTTATTATTAACTATTCTAGAACACTAATAACGGAACTGGAACGATTATCCCCATACAGTAATATACAGTAAATGTTGACACTAATCCTAATAAATCAATTTAAAAGATTAAATGTTTACCCCCTGTGGCTTCCTGATGGAAGGCGTCATAAACTGTACCTAACAACTTGCCAGCATGAATTGAATTTGCCTGCAGGCATTAATTAACTCCATTTAGTGCTAAAAAATTCTAAGATAAAGGCCATAAAGGCCTGCTTGCAAGCTTTACGATTACGCAAGTATCTGCTAGATAGTGATGGTTTTGAAAATTTTAGTCGGAAGTACTGTAAAATTATGGGTAATAGACCAATTGCAACCTTTTGACGATAAAAGCTGAGAAATTCTGATTGGAAACGGATGCGACTAGACTGGTCTCCTGAGCACATCAATGAAAACTACAATAGGATAGAGAACCAGAATAAACGGAAGCAGTGCATAAATACCGAATGACACTTTTAAAAAGGAAAATGTAAAATAAAAATGAATGATTATCTTAACAGACTTCCCTGTTAATAGGCTTTGCCTAATTTCATATTACCTGAACCAGTGTTCAATCTAGAATGAATTCCCAGGGGGCCCTTTGGGCCCATAAACTAATCAACAGAGGGCTATTCGAGAAAAAAAAGGGCCCACACCTAAAATTCAATTAAGGTATAATATACTACCTTTTAACTTACTTGTTCCCACAACTGCAAATACATACCATATATCCACCAAAAATGGTTGCAAAAAATTGACTCGACTAAAAAATATTGCTCTTAATTATTTGAGCCTTTTTTGAGAGTTCTATTAGCAGATCAGGCTCATTTATAAGAACTGATTAGTAGAGAAACAAAGACATAGTGTTTCAAGTATAAAACTATCAAAAAGGATCAAATATAAAGGTTGCCAGGGATGTTCGATAATAATGTTCAGTTTTTATTTGTTTGGGTCGTCAGACCAAACAAATAATGGTAGCGAAATTTCAGAGTCTAATGTTGTTAATTGCAAATGCCGAAAGTAGTCCACTTTTTTGAAGCGGTTACTTCCCTTTTGTATGTACACTAACGCCGAAAAATTCAGGGGAGATCACTGCGTAAAGATGGTCAAAGACAGGTGCATTAATTTTCAAGCAAAGTAATTCCCGAATGGTCGAAGATTTCTAATATTGTTTTATTGTATTTTCTGATCAAAAATAAGTAAATAGAAAGCGGACATTCAATCTCTGTCACAGAAATTTACGACAAACTTAACAACAAGTAGTTCTCAAAACAGCTTAAAACTAGCGATTTAAAAGAAAGAAATATTTTATTTTGTTACAAGTATCCAACAAATTACAACGCATTCAAAGTTAAACAATAGCATTGACTTATAGAATTGTCAATAAATGCACAATCACAAATTACGCGGATGAATATGATTTTATCAATGAAAATACTATTTTTAGCGATGTCGATTACCGAATACTACACAAACCGAGTAGTGGAATATATAGATTCTACATGTCGGACTGTTTGGGCGAGAAGATTTTCGCTTAAATATTTACTTCAATTTTAAACAACAGGTTTACCCTGAACAAAATACCTTGAAATTAATAAGGATTACAAACCCGAAATGCAATGGAAGTTCTAAATTTAGAATGACTTAATGTTATTCAGCCATTGTTGTTTTAACTTCTCCGTGGTACAGTGGTAACGCGCTCGCTTAGTGAGTGAGAGGTCTCGAGTTCAAATCCCAGTTGAGGAAACTTTTTTTTTGTGTTAAATTCTTTTTTAAGTGTCTTTGTTAAGGAAGTAGCCATGATATGCAAGGATAAAGTGTGGCTGTCATAAAAAATGAACATAAATGATTTTTTGATGCAACTCTAGTTATGCAGAATTCCGAATGTATCAAACTCTGGTGCCTTGCAAAATGAATTATAATACATAAAAATAAACTTATACAGGAAAATGCATACAGATATACAGTACGATTTAGATTGCAAAGATCAGAAAATACCAGAGAACTTGCATCCCTTTGATCCTTTATAAATATACATGCTTATAGTAAGCTCCAGGATTATTTACATTTGTGTTAAACAACAGTTAAAGTCGTTACAAGCCCTAATTTCGAATAATATGGTTTTCTTCAGGCCGTTCACATATAAATTCACCGTGGCTGAAGGGTTTTCGGGCTCGCTTAGGAAGCGAGAGGTCTGGAGTTCAAATCCCAGTAAAGTAAATTCATTTTTTTTCAAATTGTTAAAGTCAAATAAACATTGGATTGAATATCAGTGTTGCAATTAGTCTTATAGCCAATTTACTACAATTAAAACGCTTGAAAGCATTGATGGCACTATACAAATAATCTCACAACCAGCGCCTTTCTTACATTCTGAGACCCAAACAAATTCAGCGCCTTCTGTGCTTTGATTTAATCAGCGGCCGATATACAGTAAAGGAAAATCATATTTTGCAATTAGCAAAAAACATTTCACTTTGTTGATGAAGAATATAAACTAACACAATCGCTTAAAATATTTACCCTTCTCAATATATCTACGCGGAAAACAAAGTATCAACAGGTGCTTAGACAATGTACATTGACATATACCGGTCCTTTTGATCTTTTGTCAGATGTTTGTAATGATTATCATTAATGATATGCACAATGTTTTTGCGCCGACCAACCGAAGACAATTAAAATTAATTTATTTAATTGTCAGACACTCCCAGGGCACTAGACAACTTTTGGGGACAGTGAAACACAGCAAAACTATTTCCTATTATAGTCATTAATGTTTTCTTTATTTTTAAAGTTAAAAATGTATCACACTATTTTGCAATCTGCACTGGTCAGTTCTTAATCTATTTTCTACATATTTCTGCCTGTTCTTTAGATTGAAACAATTATAACAATGAGAATTGAAATAAGAATTAGATAAAAATAAACAAGAAAGTTTTATGCCTTTTCTAAAAAAGGTTTTGGTTTCAGAGGAAATTGTCTGTAACTGAAAACTGGGTACGAAAATATTTGGTACGAAAATATTTGAGTACAAAGCTGCAAGAGAAATACGTTTTTTCCAACAACTGACAAAAATTAAAATAGTTTTGTTTAGTGACTAGTAGAATATGACAATGTATGTCTATTCTCTAAACAAATTGAATATAAGGTAAACTCCTACAATGATTATCTGCCACATTAATTTTGTCAATAATTTTACGAGAGTTACCTCCCTTGTACATTTCTCACTTCCTGCTACTTACGGTTTTAACATACAGCGTTGTTGACAACTGTATTTTAGTTTTCAATCCATTGAAAGTTAAACAGAAATATATTTTATTTTTATGAAATCAAAACATTACTTTTTTGGTTAAATATCAAACATTTACACTACAAATTTTTTTTTGAGGGGAATTTTCTACTGAAATAGGGGAAAAAAGCATATGATTTTGAGAGGGGAATGGGGCCGATATACGGCCCCAAAAATGGCCAAACGAGTGCCCTGACTCCCTAGCCAATTGTGTTTGATTAGCTCAATCTCATGAACTTTTTAATTTGATGATGACATGTTCGTAATAATTTATATAAATGCACACTGTTTCTTAAATATATAGATTTTTTCGGCGGAAAGTTATTACACATTTCTTAGTTTTGTCCGTTACAAAAATACAATTACACCCACGTATTGGATTTTCTGTAACAATTTGTTTTGTTTATAATAATAAATTTATATCAACTGTGACATAAAAGTTAAGTTATAGGTACATTACGAGGAATAGGTGTGCATAGTCTTTACAGACCCGGTAGCAATTTGAACACCAAGAGAGCGTAGTGTTTTAAAGGGTTACAGAGTGCGAAAAACTATCTTACCTACATGCTCTTTTGTTTTTTCTATCCAAACTTCAGTTTTAATTCAGTAATGTATTTATTAATATTATTCACAAAAAACCTATTATTTTCTGAGTGCGCTTGTTGGGCCCACAGTTGAAACTTGAATTTGTTTTGCGTCGGCAGTCTTTTCAGGGGGTCAATGGCGCACTCCAGATTGAACACTGCCTGAACTATAATCTGGTTCCCCGTCTTAATATGGTTCCCATCTTTGATCTCTGACAAGTGGATTCAATTTAGATATCATATAAAAAATGAAATGGCCGTGTATAGTGTGTGGTTGTGTTGAGTGCGGCCAAAAGTGTGCAGTTCTAGGACTATAAAATGTGAAGCCACTGATGGGTTTTAATTTTAATGTAGTAAAGTACTAACGATATAATTTCTATCAAAGTGCTTGCTTTAAGGCTTTGCCTACTTCCAAATTCATGGGTATTGCCAACTGTCATATTATCTATAATTTTATCATATTTATGTAGCCATATGTGTTTTCTAAATACCTTCACATGTCTTAAAATGTTTGCAACGTTAAATACTTTTATCACAATACACTATTATATTAGCACATCCAGTAGTCTTATTATTCAATTTTATTGGACTGTCTCAACAGTTAAGAAAAATTATGAGAAACTAAAAAGATTATCACAGGTATTTTCATACAAATATAGTGTAACGACTGACCAGTTATCAATATAAAGACCTGCAAATATCAACAGACCTACAATAACTTACATTTACGAAGAAATCACATAAAATTTCTGGAATTTATTATTCATCGGTGAACTAGACTCACTTCCTGTTGATAATCTCGGAGTAAGTCATGTGACATCATTTAACTGCATGTATTCAGCTACGAGAATCTCCGAGAGTTACTATTTCATACAAAATGGAGGATGTCACGAGAGTTGTTAAGGTAAAATGCAGACGTATTTTCATGAAGAATATAGTTGCTAGATTTCAGTATCTTTATAGAAAATTGTATTTATTAATTGTGATTTAATCTATTGTCTTCTGTGTTTATTTTTGGGTAATTTATAAACATTTTCAGAGTCGTTAAAACTATTTTTGAAAATTGCCAATGAAAACAAATAATCTGATAGTGATAACTTAATGCCAAGTTCATCAGATGTTTTAAGTGATTGTGTCAAGCCCCCTCTTCTTTATTGCGTATGCTTGCGTAATTTTTTTCGAGCAAATTTGGCTCAAACTTAAAATTTCTTTAATTTAATAAGTGGAGCGGTTAGTAAACCTTCAATACATTATAATTTATTGTTTCATAACATCTTAGGAAAAGGTTAAAATTAATAAAAAACTAGTCCACTACATATAAACTGGACTTTCTTGAATTTGGAATCATTATATCATGTTTATGTTAAGTACTTGTAACGATTTAATTGTCACCATTGATATCAAAATTGATAAACTTTACAATTGATCAGGCCAATTTTATGTACTTTGTAGTTTGTACCTGATTAAATTAATATGAAATTAGGCAAAGCCTATGAACGGGGAAGTCGGTAAAAAATCCTTTCATTTTTCCGTTTTAAAGGTGTCATTCAGTATTATATGTACCCGCTTCCGTTTTCACTCGAAACACTCGACGATTATTATTAATCCGAAAAGTTGAGATTTGTTCCATTATCGGAATACACTGCCTTTTATCATTGAGTTACATTGTAAATGGCGGCGCCTAACTAGAACTGACACTGAAAATTTCATTGATAGGTATAGAATTCTATATATTTTTTAATTGTTTTTTATTTGATTTTCTTTTAAATATACACATGTAGTCTATAGCCGGGCAAGCCAAAGCCAAGGCTTTGACTTCCCCGTATAAAAAAGTTAGTCAGTAAAGTAGTTTTGTTTATGACTTTCTGTACATTTATATTATTTACACTCTGCCGTGCATGACTCAAAATTTTACATGCACATATATAATTTGCAGTCATGGACAATAATAGAATTTACATGTAAATAAAGATTAATATTTTTGTTTACTAAAAAAATCCATAAATCCATGTCCAACTTTGAACTTTATGTTAAATTTAATCTTTTCTTTTAGAACAACCATACATTACAACCGGTATAGATGGATACCGAAAATAAGCTATTTTCACGAAAATAAGATCGCATCCACGAAAATAAGATTTATTTTTGAAATAGTGTATTAATCTTTTTAATTAATTATGTTAATTAAATATTTATCCATTGTTTGAATGATTGTACAGCAAATTAAATTTTCATAACCAAAAAAATATCTAAAAATGTGAAGTTTGAGCCAAAAAATAGCTACCTACGAAAATAGCTCAAATCGCCGTGTGAAGCTAAAATAAGATCGGGTCTACGAAAATAAGATTTATTTTTGATATAATTTATTAAAAACGTATTTTTGTTGTTATTAAATGATTTGCATGAATGAAATAATAAAAAATGAAATGTTTTAAAATGAAATATAGAAGTGTGTTCGATTAAAAAGAACGCATGGCAAAATAACTCAACGCGACTACGAAAATAAAATTTGTAAACATGGTTCATAACTTTTATTAAAATTGTATTAATTGTAAATATGATTGTAAGAATTTAATCTTCTATTATAAGACAAGTATAGGTTAGAGTGCATATTGGGTGTTCTTCATAAATAAGAAAGCTAAAAAGGAGCGGAGCTTGCGAAGCGACTGTAGCTTTCTTCTTTACAAAGAACATCCAATATGCACTCTAACCGGCTTAGTGCTCCGCCGATTTTTTCCGCCCAACACACTGTGTGACGTCACACAATAGCCTAAATGTGTATAACCATATTTGGAAGAGTTAGCGGTACACATTTTCGGGTCACGTGTTTTGCATAGCTTATTCCCGCACTCTGTCTAGGTAAATCAGACAATATCACGGTGCATATCCATATCGGTACCCTCTTTGCGAAATATTCTCAAACGGTACCCTCTTTGAACATACACAGGTCATTCTCTGCTAAAATCAAACCAGCGATGGATAACAATGCAGTAAAAATTCATTGTAATAAGGAAAGGAGGTATGACACGTAGAAAAGATGTATACCACGGAACACTAGAATGTTTTATTTATGTGCTGATTTGTCATGTGCCTGATTTTCATGTACTGCAACTTCACAATAAGCTACAAAAAGTCGACATATGTCTTGCCTCGCCCGTCACCTTGACATATTTTTCGGGCTGAAATGAACCTGTAGCTACAGTCGCTTCGCAAACTCCGCTCCTTTTTAGCTCGACTTTTCTATGAAAAGGGGAGCTATCCTACTCGCCCCGGCGTCGGCGTCGGCGTTGGCGTCACACCTTGGTTAAGTTTTTCGTACCACCCCACTTTATTTCAGAAGTATTACGAGTATGGCTTTGAAACTTACCATACTTGTTCACCATCATAACCTCCATCTACAGACAAGAGTACATAACTCTGTCAAGGTTTTTGACAGAATTATGGCCCTTTTTTGACTTAGAAAGTGTATTGAGCTTGGTTAAGTTTTTTGTACCACCTCACTTTATTTCAAAACCATTGGAGGTATTGCTTTGAAACTGACCATACTTGTTTACCATCACGACCTTCATAAACAGACAAGAGGACATAACTCTGTCAAGGTTTTTGACAGAATTATGCCCCTTTTTGACTTAGAAAATACATTGAATATGGGTAAAATCCACTTATTGCCTTAACCCTTTGAGATATTGCTTTGAAACTTTTAATGCTATTTCACATCATTACCCCCATCTGTACGCAAGAGAAGGTAACTCTGTCAAGGATTTGTTTTAAAAATTAAGGCCTTTTATCGACTTAGAATCTTGGTTAAGTTTTTAGTACCAGTCCACTTTTTGACTGAACTGTTTGAGATATTAATTTGAAAGTTGGAATACTTGTTCACTTTAAAAATACAGAGATTCTTGTATTGCCTTTTACTGCAAAAACTTTTTTTATTGGCAAGCAATAAAAAAGTCGAGCGCGCTGTCTTACGGACAGCTCTTGTTAGCTTTCTTATTTACGAAGAACATCCAATATGCACTCTAACCGGCTTAGTGCTCCGCCCATTTTTTTTCCGCCCAACACACTGCGTGACGTCACACGATAGCCTAAATGTGTATAACCATATTTGGAAGAGTTAGCGGTACACATTTTCGGGTCATGTGTTTTGCGTAGCTTATTCCCGCATTCTGTCTAGGTAAATCAGACAATATCACAGTGCATATCCATATCGGTACCCTCTTTGCGAAATATTCTCAAACGGTACCCTCTTTGAACATACACAGGTCATTCTCTGCTAAAAACAAACCAGCGATGGATAACAATGCAGTAAAAATTCATTGTAATAAGGAAAGGAGGTATGACACATAGAAAAGATGTATACCACGGAACACTAGAATGTTTTATTTATGTGCTGATTTGTCATGTGCCCGATTTTCATGTACTGCAACTTCACAATAAGCTGCAAAAAGTCGACATGTCTTGCCTCGCCCTTCACCTCGACATATTTTTCGGGCTGAAATGAACCTGTAGCTTGATTATATATGCATCATACATATTTATTATGTTCATATACATATCATCTTCGGACAAATGGCAGTATATTGTCAAAAATAAATGTAAAATTAATAAAAACACCCTACTTTCGGTTTTGCAGCGGCACGGGCTGTAATATTAACATAAAAAGTAAGAAATATTACATACATACTTTGTTGGAATAAGTGAACTTTTTATTTGGAAATTATAAAATGATACTGGTTCTGTGAGTAATAATACATTTTAACTGTTATTTTGCCTGTTTTCATTTCAATGAACCTCTTTTTTTAAATTCTATGCCGTAGTGACGTGTACGGAAAAAACATGATGCATAAATATTGATTAGTAGGAGTAAACTTCAAGATCTCTGCACATGCGTATATTTCACTTAAGCGCTCTTCGAAACTTAGCTCCGCCCACTTGCGTTTTATAATATAAAACGTCCAGTTTATATAAAATCTGTTCTATTAAGATTTGAAACCTTAAAATTTGAAAAATCCTCGTCGGTGATTGGCTTAAAAAATTGGCGAGCACTAAGAAAAGTTTGTGGTAAAAAAGCAAGAATTAACTAGTGTGAAAATAACCTGAAACAACGATTACAAGAATTACAAGACAAGTGAAATCGACTCTGCCATGCTTTTTTGCTAACTATGCTACATGTATCTACAGATCCTGTCAATAAATTTAATCTACACCTCTGGGCGTAGCTTAAAAACTTGATTGATGATGCACAGTTACTGCTGATAATTGACTGCATTTAACAAATTTATGTAACATGTCACTTTTGTATCAGCCAATTGATCAGTGATATGCAATAAATACCAAGTATAACCACATGATCAGTATTCGTACCCAGTTCATTTTATACTACATGTGTACTAGAATTTCACACCAAAAGTAAACATTATTTATGCACAATCATGTACATGTACAAATAAAAAATCATTTAAGTATCTTATTGTTAAAAAAACCCATGTTTTTAAAGTTTATATTATGCATAATTCTCACATGTCATGTCTCCCTGGATATAAAAATTCCCCATGAATACCTGGCATATTATGTAAAATTCCCAATTTGAGTCAAAATGATGCATTTTTAGCTCGACTTTTCTATGAAAAGGGGAGCTATCCTACTCGCCCCGGCGTCGGCGTCGGCGTTAGCGTTGGCGTCACACCTTGGTTAAGTTTTTCGTACCACCCCACTTTATTTCAGAAGTATTACAAGTATGGCTTTGAAACTTACCATACTTGTTCACCATCATAACCTCCATCTACAGACAAGAGTACATAACTCTGTCAAGGTTTTTGACAGAATTATGGCCCTTTTTTGACTTAGAAAGTGTATTGAGCTTGGTTAAGATTTTTGTACCACCTCACTTTATTTCAAAACCATTGGAGGTATTGCTTTGAAACTGACCATACTTGTTTACCATCACGACCTTCATCAACAGACAAGAGGACATAACTCTGTCAAGGTTTTTGACAGAATTATACCCCTTTTTGACTTAGAAAATACATTGAATATGGGTAAAATCCACTTATTGCCTTAACCCTTTGAGATATTGCTTTGAAACTTTTAATGCTATTTCACATCATTACCCCCATCTGTACGCAAGAGAAGGTAACTCTGTCAAGGATTTGTTTTAAAAATTAAGGCCTTTTATCGACTTAGAATCTTGGTTAAGTTTTTAGTACCAGTCCACTTTTTGACTGAACTGTTTGAGATATTAATTTGAAAGTTGGAATACTTGTTTACCATCATGGTCCCAAAACATGGGCAGGAGAAGGTAATTCTGTTAAGGATTTTATTTGAATTATGGCCCTTTTTGACTTAGAAACTCAGTTAAGATTTTCATTCTTGTCCACTTGTTGACTTAACCATTTGAGATATTACTTTGGAAGTTGGAGTTCTTATGTGCCATCATGAGACCTATCTGTAAGCAAGAGAAGATAACTCTGTGAAAATGTTTCTTGATTTGTACTTAGAAATTCCTAGTTAAAGTCTTGTGTGCCCTTAACTGTCAAAGTTTTGTTTTATAGGCAAGCACTAAAAAAGTCGAGCGCGCTGTCCTTCTGACAGCTCTTGTTCTTTCCCCAGTTTGCTTGGTACTGGCACTATTCCCAAAGCAGTTGAAAAAAACGCTGAATTTAAATAAGAATATTACAGCTGCACACTAAATGAGCAAATGGTTAAAACATCATCTTTTTAGATCAAATCTTTTTTTTCTTTTTTTTTTTAGTTTAAAAAAAAACAAAAAACTAGATCAAATCAATGTGCCTTATCCTAGCACCTTTTCATTTCTCCCTATGCCTTCAAACTTCTCCCTGATGGGTGATGAGGGAAAAGTCACTTCTCTGTAAAACTTGGGTTTATCTAGAGCCCTAACATTTAGTAGAACCACCATATATCTTATTATTCTTACCAAACTTTAAATGTCTGATCTAATACCAAACTAAAATAATGCAGGCATTTTACATGTATATTTAAAATAATATTTTTTAAACTTCATAGCTTTTTAAAAAAAAAAATCAAATGAAAAGAAATGTGTAACAATTTAGAGTTATGTCGCAATTGACAATTCCATCACAGTCTATCAAGGTCACATATTATTTAGATCAACAAAGAAACTTTGAAGGTGAAATAAGTGCCAAAATGATGTAAATTCCATCTCTAAAATAATTTACAGGTAATTAGCTAATCTGACTGGAAGATTTCTTCATGCAGTGAGTTCCTTTGATGTTAAACTGTCATGACAAAAGACACAGGTCTTTCATTGCCACTTCTGAGTAATAAAATTTATCATTGACTTTTAGTGTTAATTGCAAACAATAAATTTAGACATTAAACATAATAACAATATGTTAATTTATGGACTTTGAAATGTGAAGATTTTCTTTATTTCAACAAAAACGTGCTCTCACCTACACAAAATTAATTAAAGAACAAAAACATAATTGAACTACTGTATACCTACATATTATAAATGTACTACAGGAGGTTCATGCACCCTTACTTTTGAAATTCAGTTGACATGCTTTGATTAAGTCTTAAATATTTAAGTATAAAGGTTGTGTGTGTGTGTTTTCTTTTTTGTTTAATTTTAAATATCTTATACCACAGGCAACATTATTGATATGTAGGTAGAAAATCCACAAAGCCTTAGATGTTGTTTGTTTAATTGATAAATGAGTACACTATTTTTATAGACATTTTCTGTACATGTTAGTCTTCTAAGTACAATGTATACAAGGGTTGTCTTTGAGAAGTCAAAATATATTAACCATCAATTTGACTAAAGTTGATCTACTTAAGAAACTCTTAAATATTCTATAAAAGATCTATTTTGTAAATATTAAATTAATCAAAGCAGGAACTTACATTTAAATTTGGGGTAACCGTTATACAATGTAATAAATATTTCAATGTTGACCATGGGGTAATCTCCTGTCAGACAATGATCACTTTTACAATAACTAATCATGTCATTTCATAGGAACATGATTTTATACAACTTCATGCATGTATAACATCAAATACTAAGTTAAAACAGAACACAAGGCTAGTCTGTAAGCATAGAAGCAAATGTACACTTTCAGCTCTTTAAATAAATGATATTATAATGGTTCATAATATGTAAGTTAATATATCCTTATCTTAAACAACATTACCAAATTAACTAAACTCAAATGGGATATCAATGTTATATGATGAAAACTACTTAAAATAGCAGATTTTTTTTTTATTTTACTTGTCTCAATGTAAATTCCATGCAAATTTAACTCAGGATTTTCAAAACCCTACCTGCATGTTTAATACAATCTGATTAAAATCAGTTCCTAATTAACGCTATGCATTAGGATCTGACAGGCACCAATAAGAGGTCATTTGTTGTGACCTTTCAGACAGCCAATTTTGAAAGCAATGTGGTTTCTAATCTGTTTTAACTGCTGGAAAACCAATACCGAGTAGGTAATTTTCACAATTTTGAAAACAAACATGGCGATGTCCATATAGTCGGAAGATAACTAGCAAAATATTCTTGCCCATTAAAAATTTTCAATTAATTTGTTTAAAAATGTTTCAAACAATTTTTTTAACAAAAAACCAATTTGGACAGCAATGTTTTATTACTTCATCTTATGCCTATATGTAAAAGACATTTTGATTGCATGGCTAAATAACAGCTTTCTCGGAAAATCCAAATCATAATTATTAGGCAAAACAAATATGGTGGCTAATCAGTTGTCAAAAATATAACTTTGTCTTTGTCTTTATTCTAGGACATTGTAAGGACAGTTGTTCCTTATTTAGAAGATGCTCGTGTTAAAGTTAATGGTGCCTGTGACCAGGTTGAAGGATGGCAGGTTATAGCTTACACTTTTGGATTCACATTGATTCTGATATCTTTGTACAACTTTATATTTGATGAAGAAAAAAGTAAGTATTTCAAAAATGCATTTGAATGTTCAATTTCATATTTTTGAAACATCTAATACTTTTAATATTCTTTATATAAATATTTAAATATAATGGACATATATTAATAGTATCTCAACAATATTGATAACTTTATTAGATGTTCTTTCACTTATCTTTCTGTATGCATAATTAATAACAATGTTCTACTTAGTGTAGCTAATGTTAAAGGTCCCATTGGGAATTTATTTATATGGATACGTTCATGTATATGGCATTGATAAAAAAAAAGTATGTTTACTGGTATAACTGTACATGTATATTGTTTGATAAGGATAACAGAACCTAATTACATGCCACCGTATTGGTACATCGTATTTTTCTCAAATAATGAATATCAGTGGAAAATAAACTCTCAGTGGACAAAAACATACTAAATGTAGTTTACTGGTATATGAAAAATGTTGCAAGATGCACATTGATTTTTTTCTGATATTACCCAACATTCGTTGGTATTTGTTAATTCATTAGGGTTTGTAATCCTTAATTGGAGTGATTCTGTGTTTGCTGCAATGAGCCATTCTCTATTATGTTGTAATAAAATAGATTAAAAAGCAAAAAAGTTTACACTTTATCCAATAAACACATACTCATAATGTTAATAGCTTTGTTTAGAACACATTAGAATAGTAACTCTGTAGGAACTTAACTTGCAAATAGTAATTAATTATACACAGCAAAGGTCAAGAAATGTTTTTAAAGCTCATTTTTCTCTATAAATAGGTTTAAAAGAGAGAATTAAAAAACGTTTCTTCAAGTTTGTGAAGAAGTTACCTATAATCAAAGACCAAATTGCCAAGGAGATTGATAAGAATGCTAAAGGTGTGGAAGAGGGTTTTCAAAAAGGTGTCGGCAAGATGAAGTACATGCACAAACTGCCAGACAAGGGATGGACAGAGGTATATGATCCGCGTCACGACAAAACCAACATAATGAGTTTGCGACCAGCATGGATCCAGACCAGCCTGCTCATCCGCGCAATCTGATCAGGATCCATGCTGTTCGCTGTCAGTTTCTCCACTTGTAATAGAGTTGGTAAGCGAACAGCATGGATCCTGATCAGACTGCGCGGATGCGCAGGCTGGTCTGGATCCATGCTGGTCGCAAACCCACTATGTTGGTTTTGTCGTGACGCGGCTCAAATATGTTCATAATTGATTTTGCACAGTGTTGAAGCAGTGGTCACAGTGGCTTCATTCATATATAATATAGAATGTGAAATCATTTACTCTGTGTGTATTTGGTTTACTTGCTCAAAATGGTGAGGAAACATATTGCAGAGCAAATACTTCATTTATGATATACCACTTTTATCTAAGGGGAAATGAAATTTGATGGGTATCGATACATTGGTCTATGGATTTAGTATTTTAGAACATAATAAAAATGTACATAGTAAAAATTAATTTTTGCCTGCTGTAAAACATGTCAGGAATATGTTTCCCATTTTGTGGCTTATGTGTAAAATAAGTAAATGATTGTTAAGTTTAATTATTAAAGTATAAAATTGTTATATTAAAAAGGACAGGACCTGATAAGACCAGATAAAATCATAGTTCAATAAATCCTCTATACATATATACATATATTCAGGCACTGATAGGCATACATATTGTAAAACTGTTACCGGGTAAATTGAAAAGAACTCCCACCAGCCTTATTATCTAAAAGTCTAAAAAAAAATGGCTGCAATGTTCTAATTTTTTAAAGCAATGAATTTTATTGTTTGTTTTTCAATTTTGCAACTACTAGAAGGAAAGGAAATGAACTGTTAAGCGCAAATCTGGAAACTTAGGCTATACCTCTATATACATTTCTCTGTGATAATATTTTTAGAGACAATTTACCAAAAAGCAGGATTGAATATAGAGAGAGGGACTTTTATTTGTTGTACCATATTATTATCACAGACAATTAAAAGCCAATTATAAAACATGGCAACATTATTATGATAAGCGAGCCTTAAATCATTGTTAGTTATCATATAGGTAATGACATATAATTGTTCTTTATTATGCCCCCGCCATATAATGGCAGGGGCATATAGTGTTACCCTGTTCCGTCATTCCGTCCTTCCGTCCTTCCGTCATCATCAGTTTCCGTTCATTATCTTAATAACCCTTGCACATATTGAACTCAAATTTGACATATGGATATGTCATGAGAAAATTACAGGTCAAGTTCGAAATTGGTCATGGTTCGATGATTTTTGGCAGAGTTATGCCCCTTTTACATTGAAAATAATATGAAATTTTCAGTTTCCGTATTCATTATCTCTCAAACGGTTCAAAACATCAATTCAAAATTGACATATGGATATGTCATTGAGAAAATACAGGTCAAGTTCGAAATTGGTCATGGTTCGATGATTTTTGCAGAGTTATGCCCCTTTTACTTTGAAAATAATATGAAATTTTCAGTTTCCGTTCATTATCTCCCCAACGGTACAACACATCCAACTCAAACTTGAGATATTGATATGTCATGAGGAAAATACAGGTCAAGTTCAAATTTGGTCATGGTTCAATGATTTTTGGCAGAGTTATGCCCCTTTTAATTTTGAAAATAATATGAAATTTTCAGTTTCCGTTCATTTATCTCCCCCAACGGTACAACACATCCAACTCAAAAACTTGACATATTGATATGTCATGAGAAAATACAGGTTTCAAGTTCGAATTTGGTTCATGGTTCGATGATTTTTTGGCAGAGTTATGCCCCTTTTACTTTGAAAATAATATGAAATTTTCAGTTTCCGTTCATTATCTCCCTCAAGGTACAACACATTCAACTCAAACGTGACATATGGATGCGTCAAAGGAATGCGCAGGTCAAGTTTCAAATTTGGTCATGGTTCAATGATTTTTGGCAGAATTATGCCCCTTTTACTTTTGAAAATAATATGAAATTTTCAGTTTCCATTCATTAACTCCCTAATGGTACAAACACATTCAACTCAAAACTTGACATATGGATACGTCAAAGGAATGCGCAGGTCAAGTTTTTCAAATTGGTCATGGTTCAATGATTTTTTTGGCAGAGTTATGCCCCTTCACTTTGAAAATAATATGAAATTTTCAGTTTCCGTTCATTATCTCCCAATCGTACAACACATTTAGCTCAAACTTGACATATCGATACGTCAAAGGAATGCGCAGGCCAAGTTCAATTGGTCATGGTTCGATGATTTTTGCAGAGTTATGCTCCTTTTTACTTTGAAAATAATATGAAATTTTCAGTTTCTGTTTATTATCTCCCCAACAGTATTAAACATTCAACTCAAATTTGACATATTGATACGTCAAAGGAATGCGCAGGTCAATTTTAAATTTGGTCATGGTTCGATGATTTTTGGCAGAGTTATGCCCCTTTCACTTTGAAAATGATATGAAATTTACAGTTTCTGTTCATTATCAACCCAACAGTGTTACATATTCAACTCGAAATTGACATATGGATATGTCAAAGGAATGCGCAGGTCAATTTCAAATTTGGTCATGGTTCGATGATTTTTGGCAGAGTTATGCCCCTTTCACTTTAAAAATAATATGAAATTTTCAGTTTCCGTTTATTATCTCCCCAACAATATTACACATTCAACTCAAATTTGACATATGGATATGTTTTTGGAATGCGCAGACCAAGTTCGAATCTGGTCATGGTTCAATGATTTTTGGCAGAGTAATGCCCCTTTCACTTTGAAAATGATATGAAATTTACAGTTTCTGTTCATTATCAACCCAACAGTGTTACATATTCAACTCAAAATTGACATATGGATATGTCAAAGGAATGCGCAGGTCAAGTTGGAATTTGGTCATGGTTCGATGATTTTTGGCAGAGTTATGCCCCTTTCACTTTAAAAATAATATGAAATTTTCAGTTTCCGTTTATTATCTCCCCAACAATATTACACATTCAACTCAAATTTGACATATGGATATGTTTTTGGAATGCGCAGACCAAGTTCGAATCTGGTCATGGTTCAATGATTTTTGGCAGAGTAATGCCCCTTTCACTTTGAAAATAATATGAAATTTACAGTTTCTGTTCATTATCAACCCAACAGTGTTACATATTCAACTCGAAATTGACATATGGATATGTCAAAGGAATGCGCAGGTCAAGTTGGAATTTGGTCATGGTTCGATGATTTTTTGGCAGAGTTATGTCCCTTTCACTTTGAAAATAATATAGATACATCTTAGGAATAAGCAGTTTAAGTTTGAATTTGGTCGTGGTTCAATGATTTTAGACAAACTTATCTTTCCTGAATGTTGGAAAAATTTTGAACTTTCAGTTTCAGCACTCATACTTTTGTGGAAATGTATATAGCCATTATGTTGGCTACAAATATGCAATATGCTATTTTTAAAAGGTTAAGACTGAATAATTTCAGTGCCTTTAATTGAACATTGTATAAAAATGGTTAAGACTGAATAATTTCAGTGCCTTGAACATTGTATAAAAATGGTTTGTGTTAACATTGAAAAGTTTTAAGGGCTTTGAACTTAGAATGAAAAAAATAATTTGTGCAAACAAATTTGGAACTAAATATTATAACATTTGAAATTTTGGCTGCATGCGGGGGCATCCGTGGCATGATGACACATTTCTAGTTTAGAATATGTTACATAAAATTATTTGTCTTGTGGGTCCTATTTAAGGGGAATTAAGCAAGTATTCCTGCTTTATATTATAACTCCTCTGGAAATTGAGCTGTATTATATCAGAGATATCTATTTTTGATAGTATTTTATATGTAGAACCTAATTTAGGTACCAGAAATTATTGGTTAAATGGAAAAACATATAAACAAAATATCAATGTTTTTATCAATTTGCAAGCTTTCATGTTGAACAAAATCTTTTTTGTAGATATTATTTAGTATGTCTAGAGTTTTCATGATAAAATCTAGATAAATAATAAAGCTGTATGTCATTATTGTATAAATCAGTCACTGTACTTTAGTATTCCCAGTTAAATTGCATAATTTATTGTTGAAAGTTACACAAGGAGATGACAATACACATAAATTTTTATCATACTAGATAACATATCATTGTTATTTTTGATGAAAATAATCATTGACACTTAGTAAATATGTCATATACTATGATTAAACTTTTACCCATCCATTCACACAGTAATTAATTACAAGAACGAATGTACTAGTGAAAATAAAAAAACAACTAAAATTTCTCGTAGATATAAACTTTTACAATTTCACTTTACTTACCACTTTTTAAATTTTTTGCAACATCATAGATCACAGTTACATAAATATTCATATAGCAAATAATGGTTTAACAAATATAATATCATTTCATAAAATTAATATAAATAAATTAAATCATGGACTAATCACTATGATGTAAGTTAAGACATAGGTTACAATCATGAAAAATCACAGATAAGATTATGACTACAACAAATCAGAAAATAATAACTAAGAGTACAAAAATTTACTTAAAACTACTAGTATATTTAAATTTTTATATTGTTCACTTATCTATAAATATAAAGGAGAGAGTGGTGACCTAGTGATTAAGGTGTCTGCCACTCAACCCAGGAATTATGGGTTTGAGTCCTAATAGGGTCACAACCATGTTTCTTCATATGACACCAGTACTGCTTGGTTCCAGGAAGCGGACACGAAAGTGATTAATATAAGTTGCAAGAACTTGTTTCACAATCAAACTTAAATAAAATTAATATGTTTTAATATAAAGGAGGATAACTAAAAATACCAATATTTAATTATTTATACAGCTAAAAAAATAGAAAAATGGAGAATAATTACTAAAATAAATGAATCAATGAAAGTGATCTATGGTTACAAGGAGAGCCCATTTAGCTTGGAAGGTTATCAATGTCTGGACCATTGGGCCTTATTCATACAATGTCATGTCAGGCAGAATAAATCATAGAAAACCACCCCCAAGTTTTGAAAGATTGTCTTTATCTGCATATAAGGGGTCTTATAACCTCCATGTCAACAAGAAAATCCCTGTTAAAAACCAATATTACTAATTATTTTGTAGAAGATGTTTTTACAAGCTTGCAAAGAAAACTAAAGAAATTGTCCAGAACAATCACAAAACAAGACTTTAGTTAGTTGTTGAACTTTCCAATTTTTGTTATAAATCGGTAATGGTAGTTTGTTTGAGTGCACAATAAAATTGTTTATATTGTGAAAGAACACATAGCGTGTTACATGTGACATTTACTGGAATTAATCCTTCTTTATAAGAAAAGTCAGATTAATTAACAGTGAACAAACATCAGTAGTTTTATTATCTAGCTGTTTTAACATACAGTGTGACATTTAATGTTTGTAAGGCCATGACAAAATATCTTTTACTTCAAGACTGATTATAAACAATTATTTCTCTTCTTAAAAGTTAAAAATGAAAGCCGACCCTTTTTGTTAATGTAATTAAGAAAATTGTTTAAATAAGTTAATTGTTAATTATTTAATGTGCACAGCATGGTTGAGTACTTGATGTTGATTTCATGAGTCTTAATAGTAAATGCTAAGCTAGTGGGTATGATTACTATGGTAGCAAAAATGTTCTCTTTATCGGTTAAATTAGGATCAGGTGCCATATAACACCAACATTATATTGTTGAAGTCAAAAAATAGATCAGTCAATTGTTTTCTCAGTCATGGCCTTAGTTACACTTATTCTAAGAGTTTTTTTTTCCATTATTACACAGTATGCAAAAGAAACTGTCAAGAAAATGATTAATTCCTGTATCTCAGTGATTAATGAATGATAAAATCTTTTCTAATTTGTTAAAGATGGAACACTGTTTTTATACTTATCACAGCATGCTCAAAAGGACTGAATAACTCTTTTTTCTTAGAAATTCATAATACATTTTTATCTTATTTCTTGCTGACACCTTGATATTTCTGAATTTCAGTAATTTTACATGTTTATTTCTTCTGTTTCAGAAAAAAATCATGGATGAACTGGACAGATATCACTCATTAGGTAATAATAATGAACATTTTAATTTCTGTCTAATGGCCTCCAATGGCTGAGTTGTTGTACATGAGTAGAATATATGATGAGGAATTTTTGAATGGCCCCTGTTCTCATGATCTAGAGAATAGTAAAGCATGCTGTCTGTCTGTTTGACAGTTTTTATTACTAAATGATTTTGAGTGAAACAGGTACTTTCTACAGCCTTAATGAATTGTTTAGTTAAACTATGAAAATACCTGTAGGAACATTGAGAAATTAATTATTGACAGAACTCTTATGGTACTATTTTCATATTGATATAATATAATTCATGTTATACTTTTATTCAACAGTGAAAGTAGACTGGACAAAGGGTACAGTGTCAGGAGCTGTATATAGTGGTGATGATAAACTCACAGATATTCTTGTGGAGGTAAGAATGATAAACTGTCCTAAAAACTGTGCTAATATTTACAGTCAAAACTGTACTGTACTTATATTTACAGTCAAAACGATCCTAATATTTACTGTCAAAACTGTCCTAATATTTACAGTCAAACCTGCATTCACAGGTTAATGTTCACCATAAGTAAGTGAAGATAGTAATATTGGTGTTGATTTGGGAAACTTTACAAAGATGCTTTTTGGGGGTGTCTGTGGCTGACATGGTTAAGGTTGGTTACATCAAACCACTTGCCCCTCACTAATGTGGACTCATATACCACCAGTGACTTTGGATTCTTTCATGTGAGGAAGCTATCCAGCTAGCATAAGGAATGTCGGTGGTTCTACGCAGGTGCCTGTTTGTGCCTGTAATAATGCGGGGAGGGGCACCTGAGGTCTTTCTCCCCCAGAAAAGCTAGAAAATCACAATATTACGTTTAAAAGCCAAACTAGAAAAAGAGATAGTTTTGATTTCTGTTTTCGTTTTTATTAATGAAACTTGTCAATTTTAATCAGTCAGTAAAATAAGACCAAAGTACAAATATGTGTGTTGTTTTTGTAGACTTAGTTACTTATTTTAAATGACAACATGTGATATTTAGATGTATTATTGATCCAGCTTGTTTTTCAATAATCAGAGTCATATGAAACCTGTTGATGTGTTTACTAGCTACTTATTTTATAATGTCAGAGTGTAAATAACTGTGTCTCTATTTATCTTTCACTGTGCTGCAGCTTTAATATATGTTCAAGGTTATAGACAGTGAAATATGGTATTTGTTTCTGAGACATTTAAGTTTATTATGCCAGATAACAGTTTAAATGTTCTATCATCATCAATTAGTTTTATTTCATTTGTATTTTTGTTAAATGTCAAGTTATAGATAAAATTTTACTGTTGAGTACTAGAGTATGTCAGTATTTTTTTATTGATTGAACTTACTTTTTAATTAAATTTCTCATCCTTTGAGCTTTTTTTGTAATTTTACATATTCAATTTTTGTAAAGAGCATAAACATTCTAATTAAGTCATACAATGCATCAAAAACTATAATATGCAGTTGTAATTAATTTTTTACATCTTAAAAGTGTGTGATTATACTGTTAAATTAGGACTGCTACTTATAGCCATGTGTGTTGATTTAATATTGATGTAACAATAATCCAACGGCAGTTTCTCATGCAAACAAAAATTGTACTTCCGATTACGCCACAATGAGGTTGCAGATTTTTATGCTTAAAAAACTCATTAAGGTTGTCTGGACACCATAATAAGATCTGGAGTTTATTTATTAATGAAATGTCCCTTTTTCTGTTTTTATTAAATTATCCCGAAGCAACCAATTTTCAATCACAACCTAAATTCAAACACATTCTTTATTCTGTGGCTCTGATGTTATGTCTGACTAAATTGCATGAAGTCACATGTTGTATTAACTTCAAAACTTGCAGATATGCCACAGTTGATTAATTGTCAGATGTTATCAGAAAAACAATAATAAACTGTTTGTTTTAAGTGACACAATATAAATTGTCCAATTTCAACTATATCAAAATAGTCACATGTTTGAAATAGTGGTAAAAATTTTTCCAAACAAGTTAATGTTTTTTATAAAGTATTGGCTAAAGAGTTTTACCATTTACATCAGTCCTAGGTGTATTTGAAACATTTATTTATATGATGTACCACTAAATATTCATCAGACTTTACATGGGGGTCCTTATTAATAAAATCTTATATTGTTATCAAATTTTTTCATATGATGATTGTAGAATAATTGTTTTGTAAGCAATACCAGCTGGCAGATCTAGACAAATTTCCATATTTGTTAATATTATAAAGTGGGGAAGATAAAATGGCTGTAAAGATTGGATGCATTTATCATTTTGCACCCCAAATAGCGCACTAAGACGTGACACCTTTAACTGGCTTTTTATACACATTAACAGTAGTCCTACCAATGCATTGTACTGTACATATGTTATAACATTTAGTGTAAGTTTTTAAAATCTTGAAAAAAACTGTTGAAAATCGTTGAATAGACTGTTGTGAAATTTTCTACAATTTTAAGTGGCCCTGATTTATCTCAAACAAATTTTCCATGGTGATTACCCTGCTGTTTGAATTTAGGTTAAAATATTCCTGGGAGTGACCCGAGTGGGTTATATCGTTTTTATTGAATTTCTAAGAAATATCAAGACTTGTTGAAAATGTACCAACCTTAAAATGAATAAGTGTTGATAGATGCATTAATAGCTAAAATAAATTTAAAGTTTAATTTCCCCTTCCATTTAATATTTGCTAAAAACAGCTTAACTGATTGAATATTGGTTGTCCCGGGATAATTACATGCAGCTTTAAACATGCTAAATGACATTAAATGTCAAAATAATGTTTTAATGTCAATAAAATGATTTACTTTTGCCTTGTGTATCATAAAAATAATCTAATGTACATTATAATGTTAACAAGTTTCAATCAAGTGATTTATATCATTTGGAAAGGGATATCAACTCAGTGACTTTGCTTGTTTTGTGAACATTAGTCTTATACATGTATAAGAACTGCAACAAGTGTCTTTATCATGATATTGGTATATAAAGCTAAGACTGCACTGTAATTTAGCAATAAATGCATGAGTTACTTTAGTTAGCAAGTTCCATGCTAAAAAGTATCTAGTGTTATTTGTTATCCTGAAGTGCATGTTAATTTCACACTAGTAAAACAATGTTTTATAAAAGTTGCACAAAATTCATCGCCTTAGTGCAAAAATGGATTAACTCCTATCAATGTTAATACAATGAAGTAGTTAACTTGTTAATGCACTAAGGTGACGAGATACAGGTCCCTATATAATTTTTAATCAAAACCACGATGATTGGGTTTGAAGCTTAAAAGATATATAAAAAAAATAGTGTTAAGCGATTTTAATGGGTTTTGTTGGCTAACTGTCATTACTTCAAGAACATTTGATATCTTTTATTTCTGTTCTGTACGATTGTCAAAGAAGTAAAATTATTCTCTACGTTTTTCAAACAAACTGTTGCTGATTGTTATTTGTACATGTATTATGATACTTTGTGTTACTATTTATAGGCATACAGGAAGTTTGCATGGACAAATCCCCTTCATCCAGATCTGTTCCCTGACATACGTAAGATGGAAGCAGAAGTTGTACGTATGTGTTGTAACATGTTCAACGGTGATGACAAATCGTGCGGCTCTGTAAGTAATTCTAACATTTAATTTACATATTGACAAGTCTAAATCTTTGTATAGTTATACTTTGGTATGTTGGATATAAGAATACCAATGGTTTCATACTGCTCACACTAATAAATGTTAATACTAATGTAGAAATAGTTCCAGAGGTATGTTTGTTTACGACATCCAGATTTGCTTAATCAGATATTTTTCAAGGAATGAAGTTCAATAGACAAGCTTTAATTAGGCTGTTTAAACTGAATGTGAGTCAAATAATTTTTTCCATGCAAAATGAATAGTTTCTACTTCATAAGTTTTTTATTTGAAACTTCACACATGTCTTCCGGATAATAACTAAAAGGTTTCTTCGCAGAACCATAATACTAGCATGCTTTTGATTGAATGACAGCAAATTGTGAACTGTATATTATAGCTCTTATCATGGATTGTAAAATATCAAGGTTCTTAGTTTATTATCACACTTTCCTTTTGGCAGCTCTTGTTTACATTTTCATTATGAAGCATTATACATCTTATGTCCATACTGGTATTTTAATATTAACAAGGGAGAAATATGTTATGATTACAGGTGACATCAGGGGGTACAGAGAGTATCTTATTAGCATGTCTGGCTTACAGAAATAGAGCTAGAGAAAATGGCATTAAATTTCCTGAAATGTAAGATTTTATTATTTTTATAAAATAGAATTCTCTTTGGTAAGTTATGTTTGTAATACTGTGGTTTTTATTGCAAGAAAATATTTATTAATTGTGGCTTTATTACTTTTTCCTAAATAGCAGTTACCTTTTATTCTTTTCGTTCATATTAGCTAAAACTCTAATGAAAAATATCTAAACATAAGCTGTAGTCTAATATATGAGCCGCGTCACAACAAAACCAACATAATGGGTTTGCGACCAGCATGGATCCAGACCAACCTGCGCATCCGCGCAGTCTGATCAGGATCCATGCTGTTCGCTTACCAACTCAATAACAAGTAGAGAAACTGATAGCGAACAGCATGGATACTGCTCAGACTGCGCGGATGCGCAGGCTGGTCTGGATCCATGCTGGTCGCAAACTCATTATGTTGGTTTTGTCGTGACACGGCTCATATGTATTTTACGGTGGTGTTGTTCGTAGTTTTCACACTGGATCACGACAGTTAGCCACATTGAATTTACCAGAGCTCAGTTCAGCCACCGCATCATTCTTAGGCAGGCTGTCAAACAGTTTACCAGTACTAGTTTTGCAAGGAACTGATAACTTCTTTACATGCCAGAGCAGAGGTACATGATAACTTCTGACCATGCCAGAGGTACAGTACAAATGACTGTAAAAATGATTTCATGATGAACCACAGGGACAGTGTCCTGTACAGTCCGAGAATCGAACCTTGGACACTTTAATCACAGTCCAATGCTCTACCTATTGAGCTAACCGGAGGGTTTAATCATGTATCTTACTATATTTAAATCACATTCCACCTGATTGATATTTACAAATCTACAGGAATTCATTTACTTTTTCCATGTGATGATATTCCAAGTATTAAAATTTGGATGGCAAGGAAAAATTGACAATAATTTCATTTTCTGTTAAATTTGTAATTTCATGAAATATGATATAAATTGATAATATGTTAGGTATGTAGTAACTTTCAAACTTTACTGGTGAATGATTGTTTTAGGAGCAGGTTGTGTTATTTTATCTGACGTAAGTGGGTGCCTGAGTAGAAGCACCAACATTCTATAATCTGTTCCAAGAAATTTACATGTAAATCCTGCTATTATCCAAAAGGTACAAAAGTAAGTTTGATGGTACTTGGTATGTGAATCAAGGACCATGTAGAGATTATGCATGGCATATTAATGTTGTTATCAGTAAAAATATGTTGTTGCTTTGGTAACAGAAATTGTAAAAACAAGGAAATATGATACTAACTTAACTGACATCATGTGATTACTCATAAAATGGTCATTTCAAATTGCATAACCATAATTTCTTCCTAGTTATGGGTTTACTCATAAAAAAATAAAAGACAAATTTTTCAAGTCAATTTCCATAATTGAATGGTTTGAAGTAGGGAATCTGAAACCATTACACAGGTAGGGGACTGGACACACTCTTGTTGAAAGGCGATTCTTCCGAGGGAGCAAATTTGATGCTGTATTTGATAAAAAAGGAAATACAGTTGACTCTCGGTAACTCGAAATCCAAGGGACTGGGCATTTTACTTCGAGAGAAACGGAATTCATGTAATGTGGAACTACCGCCATTACATTGACATTCGTACATGTATATACATGTGCCTGATTGAATGTGTAAAGAAGTAGGTTGTTATTGTTGTTAGCGGCAATGCTGCAATATTTGACCATTGAAATGACGGTAAATAACTTACAACTACAAATTATAGATGAACAAAAATATATCATTCAAAATTTAATACATGTATATTAATAGTGAAACGTAAACTCACAATTATATTTGATTTAATTGATTATCGGACGAAAATGAAATAGCAACTATCATGAACCGGAAGTACAATTAATGTATGCAATATGACGGGACATTAATTATACAAATGTTATTTCGTTGATAACACACATCAATACCTAGGCTGTTATTTGACTACCAAACCCGTCAGACTGGCACGAGTCAACTTTCTTAAAGCAATTGTAATTACATTTTAATTTAGTTATCTAACTGTTAAAACCAATTAAGTCCTGAAACGGATTAAAGCCACTTTTACGACGTGTTAATAATACATGATGACCGGCAATTAAAAATTACTATGAAACGTGTAAATCACGAGTGACAACATCTCACCTTGATGTCGCCATCCTTTGATCAGTCGGCTGTTTTCACACTTCGACTAATTGAGATGAAAATATGTTGTAGTTTAACTGACGGGACCAAATTTTCTTTTCGACTAAACAGGAGTCTCGGTAAGTCAAAATTTGACCTAAGCGGAGTTAAAATACAAAGATAAAGAAGGAAATTTGACGGGACTTTAGAAATTTTTCGACTAAGGCGGAATTTTGAGTAAAGCGATTTTGACTTATTGAGAGTCAACTGTATATATAATGCCAAGCTCTCTAAAACAGATTGCTATGATGGTCTTTATTTGTTTGTTGTGAGGTTTAATGCTATTTTACACTTATATTTAAACAGGATTGTTCCAGTTACAGTACATGCTGCATTTGATAAGGTATTTTAAAATGTTTTTGCTTGTTTTCTTTAAAACATGAAAGCATACCAATTTTTACTGAATAGTGAAGTATTTATATCATAGAAAAGTAAATTAGATAAACTTAGAAATGTTCTCTGTGAATGATTAAGTTGGAAACTTATTGTAATTTAGTTTATATTGAATAGTCAGTTGTGATGTAAGCCACCTTTTATTGGGAAATATTCTTAAAGTTATGGGGAACACACCTATTTAAGTGTTATGTAAATTTATAGGGATTATTTTACAGGAAAAGGCCTTCAGTGTTTGAAAATTAATTGACCTTGTGTAATACATCTAGTACAGTTTCAGAACCATACAATTATAATGTAAAATGTATGCAGATTATTCACTTAATGCATGTATACTATTATTTTCTAGGCAGCTGAATTTTTCCACATGAAAATCACACATATACCAGTGGATCCTGTTACGTGTAAAGTTGATATCAGAAAAATGAAGAGAGCTATTAATGGAAGCACATGCATGGTAAGACAGTCAAGTTGATGATGTCCTAATTAATAAATGTAGTCTATTCTTATAGAAAATGCCAGTGTGTATTCATACTGTGATTACCTATGATGTGTAGAGTTTAAAACAACATATTTTCTCTGTGTGTATTTCAAAAGGGACATGTAATTATCAGAGTAATTATCAGTTTTTTCAAATATCAAATTTGAGCACAATATATCTTCAATATTATGTGATACTAAATAGAAAAAAAAATCAGACTTGATATATAGTTAAGAGTTAAATACTACTAATTGCATATTAATGAACATTTTAACCAAGACAGTCACTTTTCAAAGAAAGTTTAATTGGATTTTTTATTTATTTGATTGTCCTTAAGGGTAAGTTAAGATAACTTGAAAACACCATGTTTGTTGACAATTACTTCCCTTGAACAATGATTAAGAAAATGTAGTGTCTTCTTTTACTGCTTACTTGTACATTGAATTGATTCATGTTAAAATTATGATGACTTATTCTCACATTTTGCACATACCTTGCATACTTATAATGTGTAAAGTATATTCCATATTCATTCATTTTATTTTCCATTGACAAATTTCTCAACTAATGACATTTCACCTTATATTTCCCTATTTACAGTTAGTTGGCTCTGCTCCACAGTTTCCGCATGGATCCATTGACCCAATAGAAGAGATAGCAGCTGTAAGTTCATGTACTTTATTCATGTACTTTATCACAGTAATGACAAAAGATAGAAAGACATCATTTGCTGCATCAAATAGACTATATTAAACTTTTTGTCCAAACTAATATGAGATTATTTATAAAGAGCATGTTAAAAAGCTTTTAATTTTCATTCATGCTATTTCATTGTTACTCTGATTTTATTACAGCTCGGACGTAAGTACAGTATTCCGGTACATACAGATTGTTGTTTAGGAGGCTTCCTGGTTCCCTTTATGGAGAAAGCTGGTTTCTCTGTACCAAAAGTTGACTTCCGGGTACCAGGAGTTACTAGTATATCTGCAGATACCCATAAGGTTTGTAGTTTATTTAAAGTGTCTTGTTTGTATATCTCTAACATATATTATAAATTATATTAACAAGCTTACGAAAGATTAATGGAACTATTCATGTGCTGGTTTGTGCCTGAAATAATACATGGTGTCACCTGAAGTTCCAATCTCCTACGCAGTGATCTCCTCTGGTCAGTACAGAGATCTCTGCCACCACATACATTTTTATCAATATTTTGTTATTTTATATTTTTTAACTTTTGAGTTTATTTTTTCATTATTTTGTATACTTTTAATAATGTTTTGATAAACTATAATGAACATCGGTAAGAAAAGGTTAAAAATAAAACAGAAAGAGACAAATGATGTTAGATTTTCTATGTAACAGTCAAGTTTTACATTTGAATTTCAATGTTACATCATGTGAGTTTCATCATCATAATACATCTATGAAGGCCGAGGGGCGTCCGTGGCCGAGTGGTTAAGGTCGTTGACTTCAAATCACTTGCCCCTCACCACTGTGGGTTTGAATCCCGACAGGGACTTTGGATTCTTTCATGTGAGGAAGCTATCCAGCTAGCTTACGGAATGTCGGTGGTTCTACTCGGGTGCCCGTTCGTGACTGAAATAATGCACGGAAGGGCACCTGAGGTCTTCCTCCACCAGAAAAGCTAGAAAATCAACAATATTGTAAAGGAATGACTTGTACTTGAACATTTTTATGTACTGTTATATTTATTT